GGGTACACGAGCGAGGCCACGCGAGCATGACATGACATCGTCCATCAGTCTATGATGGACTATCATAGAGACGGGCCGACAGAACCCGGTGATGATGGATGAAGTATTTCATTGACACGTTCACGCACTTTCGGTATAAAAACATATAAACAAGTATGTGTGTATGTAAATATTTTCAACCAATCAATTACTATGTAGTACTTTGAACGGACCTTCTTCAGCTTGCAATGTCTACTAGTTGTGCTCGAGATATGCGTCCGCAGCACCATTTGAAGATCAGTACGGCCCGGAAGGTTCTCATGGTTTGCAGCAAGAGAGATTGTGATATTATTTACAGTTGATTCCTACGCTGGTGTTGTGGCCGTTGTAGCGGAAACGGATTGAAGTGTCATGCAGATTAGAGAAGTCAAGCACATTGGTTACGGGACAAGTACAGGATTGTTATAGAGTGAGGTAGGAATGGCCCGGTGCGTCAGGGCGAACCCGTTGCAGTGCTCAGGAGTCTAAGTGTCAGTGGCCCGTAATTGTGCGCGCGCACACAGCTGAGCAAGTGAATGACATATGCGTGACTATATCAGCAGTTATGGGGCGGTGCTCTGCACGTGTGGGTTGGTGGCTATACAGGGGGGGTCCCATCATTTGTGTACCCGATCCAGATCTTCCCGTCCTCGTGACGGCGAGTGCCATCTTGGTTCTGCGCGCAAGGTCTCTGGTCCCCATCGATTACAAGCACCAAGCCGACCGTCTGAGCGAGCTTTGTTCACATCACCGCCGTCACACACGCCCCGATCCGTCGCCATCCACCGACGCACAGAAGTTCGGACATTGTCGTGCCATCATTGCGGATCATGTCGACGAGCCAGGTCGCCACTACTACTGTGTCAACGACGCACCACAGTCTGCGCCGCGAGCACTGCAGAGCCACCAAGATCGCGCCAGTCGAGCTCCCCGCGGCTTCACTGGGGCTGCCGCCGACAATGCGGTCGCAGTCTCACTACGATCAGCTTAGATTCAGATTGGGATTCGGATCCCGGGCCGGATGCGTTTGTGCTCGCATCCGCGGTGAGTACACTATCTTGTCTGATCATATATTAACGTCGGGTCGCATTGCTGACGGGTTCTTACAGCAAATCTATGGGCCGATCCCGGGGCGCCGGTCGAACTCCACCACCCGCTCCTGGAAGCACCGGCTCTGCGCAGTGAGTATGTATATATATATATATAGTCAGAGTGGCCAAGATCCGAGAGTGAATCGAGACTGATTCGTCACGTACAGCCCGGGAATTGGCTGATGAAAAATCGACCTGGAGCAATGCAAGCCAGGAGATCAACGGTTTACGCGAGATCGTGCTCGATCGGAGGCACGAGGTAGCCCGCCACGGGGAATCTTGAAGAATTCCAGCTAACTGCAAAATCGTAGACACTTTCGAGTCTCGTTGGTGTGGAGCCGGAAAGATCCGGTTCCACAAAACGTGGCAAAAACGTCAGTGATGGAGCCCGAGAAGGTGCGGCCTCAAGGCCTCAAGACTCACCGTCGGTCCAACAATGCCCTCAAACTATTGATACATCCACCCCGAGCAAAATCGACTACCGCCCACCATCAGAGAACACAATAGCGACCATGGGTGGTCAAAGAAAATGAGAATTTCATCTTTTTACATGTGCGCTGGCAGTGGATTTTGGTCGACATCCGCGATCCTCCATGCACTGGCAGGCACTGGCACGTCATATTTTGTGATACCGGATCTTTCCGGCTCCACACCGACGAGACTCGAAAGTGTCTACGATTTTGCAGTTAGCTGTCAAGTCGATACAGCAGCAGAAGTTCCCAGCCGGTTGAGCATGCAGAACCACAACCGGAGGCGGCGGCCCGAGTGACATCCCCGATTCTGCCCAAGTGCACCAGCAGTAAGCATATCCACCGACTGCACCGATTTGCACTTCATCCTTGACGTCAGGTTCCAAACCCCTTTCTCCGGGAAGCCGAGGTGCGTGCCCCATGTCTCTTGAGATGCTGCTGAGAGCACAACCACACCAGTCTACTGCAACATGGACCCCGAGGCCATCGCCCACGAATGGCCGCTGACCACAACACACCGCATCGACAGTGTCACCGGCCAGACGCGGAGACGCAAAGGAAACAATCCCTTCGTGCACTGGGACATCCTGCTGGACCCATACGACCCGCGGAACATTACCGTCGCATTCGAGCACAGGCCGCGCAGCAACATGCTTGAGGCGCACCACGGGATGAATGTCTCGACGCACTGTGTCGTGATGGAGCTTGTCGTCGTTTGCCTGCTTGTCGGCCCTGTCACGGTCAGGACGGGCACTGCGCTGCGGGTCATCGACGTGTATCGGGCCATGTAAGACGCGTATCACCAGCCAGCAGCCCATCCGGATTCCGAAACTGAGAGATTCAGGAGGGGCGTTCGCGAGAGGCGGGGAGCAGGAGAGCACCGCGCGAGCGAGGAGCGCCAGATTGGGCTACGCAAGATCGACATGCTATAAAATAGGCGCAGGTTCGAAAGGCTGAGGCAGAACAAACAGAACGAGTGGGAGCTCTTGTTGTCGGAGGTCTGAGTGACAAAGACTGCACCGCCTGGGACACTATCGTACAACATCTTCATATGCACACCTTTTACTAGCGGAAAAGAGTTGGGTCGAGCGAACATGCGTTCAAGAGCGAGCAGGCTGTGGTAGTGAGGTCCAAGTGTCAAAAAGTGAGTCAAGAATGAGGCGGGCGGTCCAGCCTTTCATGTCCGCGGTCACGTGCCACCCAGGTTAATCTAGAGACGCGTCCCCGGCTGGTCAAACTTGCATTTACTGAGGTGCTGATTTAACAGGAAAGAACGCTCTTGATAACGCCTAAATCTTCTCCCTCTCTTCCCCGCAAGGCGAAGTTTGCGCATACACGACATCCCTTTGGCGGAGCGTGTATTCTCTTGCAGGTGAGATCAAGGCACCTCGAGAGCGGTTAGCCAAGCTCACGCGGAGGAGCGCAAAGAGCTTTGAGGTGTGTATTCTTACTTCTTCCCGCCCAGCAGTCCAAATCACAAGTCTTGTACTTTCATGACTATCCTTTCCATCACATTTCGTGCCAGCTGTAAGGGGAGTGGAGCCCAGGGGCCAAGTCGATAACAAGACTGGGGATCAGAGATCCCCAGCAACTATCTATATACAAGTAGATGACGTAAGGAGCATGACACCACTGACTGATAACCCTCGGATCACCGCCGGAACACCGCCGGATCAATACCGATGACCTCATCCTGCTGACACGTCTCCCCTGACACCAGCATCTGATCATAAGCTTGAACAGAGAACGTGCCAGCTAGGCCTTCCTCAACCGAAAAATCACAATATGTCCCACCTTCAAGGCATCGTAGGACTCGACACCTCGACGATGACCACACGCAGCTCTCCTCGCTCGACCATCTCCGCCCTTCTCCCCATTGGGTGTAGTGCTGATCATGTTGTATTGTCTCAGCACTCCGACAGAACCGTTGGGAGATAGGTGTTCAGCATGGCGCGTCGCACCGCAAGGAAGAGCCCTTCGAAGTTACCAACATTGACGAAAAGCCTGTCCGCTTTGAGGAAGCTTGCCAATATCCTGCGGCTGTGGGAACTGGGCCTGGCCATGCTTGTAGAATGTTCCTTTCATGCGAATCATATGATTGTCACTGCTTTAGGCTCGCGACGTTAGCGCTAAATAACGTTTTGCGCCTATTCTTCGGCATGTCGGTCATGCAGCTCAGCTCGTGTCAGTCTTTGATCTGTTCCTTGATCCGGGGTAGCAGCACACGCAGCGCCGCTGCCTTGGACGACACTTCGCCAGAATCTCGACTCTATCAAGTGCTCAGCCCGTCATTCACTCGATGAGTCTGATCGGCTGCTCATCCATCAGTGGAGTACTTACAGCTCATTTGCCAACTCCGATTTTTAATTGTATGTCCCTGAGACAAGGATGTAATATGACATTGGGGCATGTCCTGGGACCACTAATCCACTTTCAGTATGAGCATACATGTAGTCTGTGTCTCTCAGGAATGAATGTACTAGATGTTTGATCTTTATTCATGATTTGATTGGCTGATCAATCTACCAATGATCGGTGATGATAATGATGGTATTGATAGCATTGATGATACTGATGATATTGATGATATTGATTGGATCTTGCATGCACCTCCAGTGCCTCCAGGGTCCCCCATTCTCTGATTTCAACATTCTATTGCAATCAAACTAGCATTCAGAGGTAGAAATAGCAGAAAATAGTTATCTATGAGAACATCTATCTGTTACATTGTCATCTCATCCAGACTCTTCAAGTAATAACCTGTGGAGGCAGTGGAGGCTAGTTCCACCATTTGGTCCAGCATCTGATTCATGTGGTGGGACATCTACCTAAAGGGCCCTTGTAATTAAAATAAGACACCTGACATTGAACACATAGTTTCTGCTGCTAAATCCAAAGAAACTGCTTTTAGTCCCCAGCTGTGGAGGCAGTGGAGCGCTTTTCTGTGATCTGCTCCAGCATCCAATTCATATGCTGAGCTACCGCTCTAGATAATCCTGTGCATCTAAATGAAGATAAATAATGTCATGAACATGGTTTATGTGGCTGAATCCATAATAATCGCTTTTGGTCCCCAGCCCTGGAGGCAGTGGAGGCTTGTTCTGTCACTGCTCCAGCATCCAATTTATATGCTGGGCTGTTGTTTTGACAAAGCATAAGCATCAAATTGATCTATTGAAGCAGAATTCAAGGGCCTGTGGGCTACCCAACACTTTTTTTTCTGCCCCTGGGAGGTCATGGAGGCCATAAACCATCTCCTCAGCAACATCTCATTTTTGCATGTGGGCGCAGCTACCTCATTCTCAATCTCAAATTAATATATATACTGTTGTTCTATGCACCTAAGAAGTGCTCAAGCACGCAAATCCCAAATTTTGGGTGCCCAGTGGTCCACCATTTGCAAGCAATAAATACAGGCTTTTGAGAGGTAAGACATTTTCTGAGGCTTTATACTGACTACTACAGCACATATCAACGCTCAGGCCAATCCCTAGCCTACCATGCAGGCAGTGCACAAATAGCCAGGTAGTGTACCAATTAGGAAGGCGCCTCCAGGATGGCCTCCGATCAGGGGGGGTAGGGGGTGGTTTGATGGCCTCCGGAGGGGGCCTCGAAGCCATTTTACGTAATAATTGGAGGTCCCTGGGGTGGACAATCAATGCCGCGTCGCACACGCAACTTGTCCCCCCTGTTGCACGAGGAAACCCTCGACATGCGGTATCCGGCCGCTGGGACCAGAAGAAAAAGGGCATGAGACCTGCAGGCGGTCAGCACGGGGTTGTTCTTGTGAACGGCGCATGAGACTGGCATGGAAACACTGCTTCCTGTCAGACACGGCTACCAAGTACGACAGCTCATTGATATCGAACATTGACGCGGCTCTCTCACGTTCGTTCAGAATCGTTCCTGGAGGTCCGGTATGACCGCATTCAAGATCGGCGCTGCGATCCTGCGGGTCCCACCCGCTTCCTGGTGCAGCGCCACTGATTGCACTAGCTTCTGTCTCCGATGGACCTGACGAGACAGGTGCCCGCTGTCAGCGCACATGCGGCGACGTCCTGACTTTGTGTCGCAGGATTCCCGCACAACCTCCTTGCTTTCCTCACCCACCATGGTGAGCACTCAGCCCCTTCCGCACTCGCCCACCGCCCCGGGCACTGTTCCAGACGACGCTTGGAAGACGTTTCTCGAGGAAGCCATTAAGAAGTACGAGGAGAACACCGGGAAGAAGTTGAGGGAGTTGCCGTTTGCTGAAGACGTGGAGGGCTGCACCACGCTGGACGATTTCTGCGATGTTCTGTCCAAGCACAAGAAGTCGTTCGGAGACTTTCGCTCCCAGGACCAGAACATCCGGGGCGTTCTCAAGCCGCTTGCATCCGTCTTGAAGTTCATCATCGACCCCGTGGCAGAGGGAACAGCCGGCGTGGTGAACATGGATTCTGCGTGTCGCGGGCCATCGAGCTCATTCGGAGGCAGGTTCCGGGCGGAAAGGGGATCATCGTTGCTTTCGCGGGTCTTCTCCAGGCAAGTGCAGCGGGACATATTGCTATAGCCCAGAAACTGACGGAAAGCGTGTCACAACAGGCCGCCAACCGAGTCAGCAGCAAATACGACTCACTGGAGCTCATCCTCGGTTGGTTCCAGCCATGTTTGGCTCGCCTGGACGTGTATCTCGTCCAGCTTCCTCCGGCTCACCGTCAACTGCTCCACAACACGTTGCTGAAGATTCTGGTCCTCATGATCAAGACATTTGGGCTCCTGACGTCGTATCTCCAGGAATGTCCAGAAGACAAGAAATGGCGGCTTTGGGCAGCCAAGACGCGCATGAGTAAGGCCTGTTTTGCCGACATGCTCACAATGCTGACTGGCATTCTGACAGAGGATTGGGTGCTCGAGATGCTTGGATCTGATGAGGTTCAAGGGGCCCTCAACGAGCTCGACGAGCTCACCAAGGAAGAGGTCCTTGCCACATCGCTACAGACGCTTCTGGTGTCCGTGGAAATACAAAACCTGATTGGTGTGTTTCAATCCTGTGCTTCCTGCCCAGTGCTCACCACGTATGCATCAGTCGAGCAAGATATCAGAACCTGGCTCAACCCATATGATACGGGCACACGCTTTAACTATCTTACCGAAGTTAAGCATAACGGGACATGTAATTGGTTCTACGACGAGCGATTTGAGAATTGGATTGGGATGCCGAACTCGATGTATTGGGTCCATGGGAAGCGTGAGTACAATGACGCTACCGCACCACGACATTAGGCTGACGGCACCACAGCTGGCGCTGGGAAAAGTGTGTCGATGTGTGTCCGGTTATGTGTCTTCCATGGTCCTTTCTGACCATTTTGCATTGTAGGTCTGCGGTGGTCAAGCATATGCAGGCACGGAAGGAGCTCTTCGCGTTTGCGTTTATCTCTTATCGTGAGGAACGATCCCAGCATTTGGAAAGTGTCCTGTCGGCGCTGGTGTATCAGCTTGCCACTCAGGCCAAGTGTTTCCACGACCAGCTCAAGACGGCGTATGATCGGCGCGGGTTAGCGCTTTCTGCCTCCCGGACCGTACTGTTGCAGTGTCTTATGGACATGCTGAAGAGTGCACCAAAGCGGGTGGTCCTTCTGATTGATGGCCTGGACGAGTATCTGAACCCCGGGCGCACTGTGGAGCTTCTGCCTTGCTTACGGGATCTGCGCGGGTGCAACATCAACAATCTGCGTCTCTTGTTGGCGAGCCGACCGGAGCAGGACATCGAACGCGTGCTGAAACTCGAAGTGACTCATCTGCTGAACCTTGAGGAGAAGGCAGGGAGTCGTGAAGGCGACATCTTGAGCTATATCAAGGCTCAGATTGAGCAGCATCATCCGGATTGGTCTATTGCTGTCCAGGAAAGGGTGGAGAAGGCATTGACTCGGAGGGCAAACGGGATGTGAGTGGTTGCTCTGATGTTTATGGCAAGTCGGCTGATGATGCTAGGTTTCTGTGGGTTTCGTTGCAGATGTCGCATCTCCTGACGTGCGAAACGGGCGACATTGAACGACAGCTGAAAAACTTGCCTGCGGACGTCAAAGGGACGTATGATCGGATGATGGAGCGCCTTCGGGCTGATGCTTCGTCTTTCCATCGCTCTCGGCGTCTTCTCTATTCCATGGCAACTTTCTTGGGTGACATGCGTGAGCCCATTGCGGCGGCCATCACCATGGTCGACCTTGACTGGGTGGACACGGACGGAATACCGCAACCCCCTGATCCGTTCAATACCCGCGATGTGATCCGTCGGCGCGGCTCCTCATTTGTTCAGGTTAACAGAAACTCGGTGGTTGAATTTGTGCATTTTACAGCCAAGGAGTATGTGGAGGGACTTGCGGATTTCGACGAGAAGAAGGCCAGAGCCACGGCTTTCATAGCATTATCCACCGCGGCGGTGCTGAAACTCCTTGATGCGGGATACTGGGAGGATTGGTCTCGCTTGCCGCTATACATGCGCCAGGCGGATGTGGAGCCTTTGCTGTCCCGCATTTTCGATCCGTCGGATGGGCTGTGGCCACAATTACGGGATGGATTCGGATTGACTTTTGCGGGCTCAGAGTACGCAATCGCATACGAAGCAGAGACGGGGCGGTCATCTGCCGAGTTGGTTCCGGTGTTCGACAGCTGCTTGCACTGGGCGATGCACTTACGTTTCTTCAAAACGGCCGAGGCGGTGCTTGCCAAGATGGGCGACGAGACAAGCCATTCTCGGCCTGTTCAGGTTCTCATCCGTACCATCAGAGAGGCCCTCAGACAGAAGGAGTATCGACAGAAGTATTTTCCCGAGGAATTCTACTGGGGTGTGGAATACTACTGGGCTAGCAGATACCCTGATGTTTCGGATTGCAAAGAACTGCAGCGCGCAGCTGAAGGGGAGCTATTTTTCCATAAAAACCGCTACAAACACCTGCTACTGCCGCACCTCTCAAGATAACATTGTCGGCGTACTGTCTTTTCCGTATCGCACAGCCACCGGAACAGGAGAATGCTGTTGCTCGATCTTTTCGCGCTGCACAGCCGCCATCACCGGAGGGTCACCGGAACACCGCTTTGAACTTTCCACTCCGGCCTCCCTTTCTTCCACAGCGCACTCGCATTCACTGAGCAGGATAGTCATATGAACAATGTACACATGGGACCTGCTGAGCGAAGCGGCCCTCTGCTTAATCAAGTATAGTACATCGTATAAGCGCAATGGGAATAGCCGCCGCTCCTCTCGGTCTGCAGATAGACAACGAGTGTTCTCATTGAGTATCGCAGCACAGAGAACTTCGGTGCGTGTTGTTGCACGGTTTTTCATTACCCAGCTCCAGGGACATACAACCCCTTGACCGGCCAGTCACAGCTCGGCACAGTCATCTCTCACGGCTCCAGCTACAAGATCTACTGGACCCAGCGCGCCAATGCGCCATCCATCTCCAGCACTTCATCCTTGACCAGCTCTGGTCTGTGCGCATGTGGCGAGGCCTGTGACATATGTAGCGCACTTCCTGCATGCCTCCCCCCCTCTTGCTCCCCACGATCGCACACACTGCTTGAGACGGTGATTGGAAGACGTTGACAACGATGCAAGCGAAAACCGCAAGAAGATCGCTAGGAGGAAGCTGAACAACTTGCTGCTCGCTGAAGATGTGGAGGGCTGCGAACGGTAGAAGAGTTCTGCGATGAGCCATGGGGACGTCCGGATTGCGTATCGGGAAGTTCGGCCGCTCGTTCTCAAGAGCGTCAAGGCCGCAGAGAAGATCGGCATTCTCGGTCGGACGGGGCCAGGCAAGAGCTCTCCGCTGCACTGCTTGTTCCGCGGGGTCCAGCGGCAGTCTGATGAAGTCGACATCAACGGAAGGAGTATCTCAGGGGTTGTTCTGGATGCGTTGAGAGGTCGGCTGGCGCTAGTCCCGCAGGACAGCGGGCTGTTCCCGGGAACTCTGCAAGGAAACTTGTGCGTCTTCTTTCGATCACAGATTCGCGCTGCTGAAACTGCGCTGCGTTTACTAGGGACCCACAAAACTCGAGAACGGACGCAGAAAAGTTCTCTGTGCTGCAGCGCGCATGGCTACCGCCGCGACCCGGGGAACCGTCTCACCCCGTAGCCGAAGCCAAGTTCAGTCTGAATCCTACAATCGGCGACGAGGGATCCAACTACAGCGCTAGCGAGGAGCAGCTGCTGGCTCTCTGTCGAGTGTTGGTGAACAACAGCCCACTCATCGTTCTGGACGAGGCGACGAGCAGTGTCGACGTTGAGACGGATGCGAAGCTGCAGCGGACAATCCGAACATAGTTTGCGAGCTCGACGTTGTTGTGCATCGCGCATCAGCTCAATACGATCGGTGCGCTGTGATTGTTTGCTATTTCGGTTTCACTGGCTGACCAGCCGCGCGCATGGACAGCCTACTACGACCGGATTTTGGTGCATCATGTAATCCCTTGCTCGATGTCGGATTCTCGCCTCCCCTGGAGTAAGAGAGTGCGATCCAATTCCATCAATTTGACATGATGTAGATTTGTATACCAACTGCCGTTTGATTACTTGACCAGCGCGACGAACGACCAGTCCCGGGCCGACTTCCACCACCTGAACTGTGCCCAGACACTTCGAGCTTTCTCAGATGGTCGCAAGTCTGTCTGGCCCTTTTCGTTCTTGCACGGAGTCACTGACATTATCTCAGCGCTGAAGCACGTTTCGTTGACCCACTTGAATCCGCGCAGAGGGCACGCTCGAATGCATTCCCGTGTTGGACTCGTTCCAATCGACGAATCTCCTAGAAACGATCGATGACACATGCCTGGTCCAAAGTCTGCTTCCCGAGATTTCTGGCATCCCCATCGCGTGTACTTTGGCCAAGGTCGAGAGTGTTGATGCGGCTGAGGTCGGTTGAACAGTATGAGATGCGGCAATGATTCGTCAGGAAGACATACAAGACACGCTCGAAAACGAGATTCGGGAGCTGAAGCTCGAGGCTGCCTTCGAAATGTCACTGGAGATCTGTGTGCAGGTCACGTCAAATGGCCCGGACCGAGAACTTGGGCATGATCGCAGCGGTATCTGGTGAACCGAGACGCAAGCGCTAGTGTGAGATTTTGTGGTCCGTATCGTCGCTCCTTCTGAGACTGTTTGTGATATTCAACTGTGGGACACAGCAGTACCAAGGGCCTGGAGATCGTCGGCTCGACTTGATACGCAAGCAGTCGTATCGTGCGTCGACTTTGCACAATCACAGCAGCGTCGGCCAGACAATTACGATCAACACAGCCAACTCGGGGCATCGGCGCCAGCTGTCTCGATTTCGTCGCCCCGTGCGGCGGATGTCCTACACGTCGAGCCACCAAAACCAAGCGCGGTCCCGGAAGCAGCGAGAGAAGAGGTGCAGGCTGTTGATCACAAATCATCATTTGTCATCCAGTCGAAAAAGGGCCTGACGCCCGGCTCTCATCCTGCAGAGCTCTGGATGCAGATCGTGCGCAGCGACATTGTGGCCGACCGGTTGGAGACGGTCCGAGAGCGTGGCCATTTCGCATGCGCCCCGACTCCGCCGTCGAGCAACGCCGGATGTCCCTAACGCGTTTCTGGAACGCCGCCGCCGCCGATAGTGGGATGATATCCCGCGTTCGCCGTGAACTCGAAGCTACTTGCGCTTTTCATGTGACCGAACGTCCGTTGATCCTAGCAAGATCGGTATCGCACTACTGCCTTATACGCTGAGGGGTGAGTCTCGGTCCACCAATCGATTTGCGACGGAGCTGACTGCTCAGCGCTCAACAGTCACCCAATTCTTCTGTCAGGCTGGGCGTGGGAACGGTGTACGCGCCGTGTGCACTCTGTAGCGACTCAGCCACAACGACCCCCGCGCGGTGCAGGTCACGTGTGCGATTTGCTCAGCGAGGGTTCGAGTCCAGGCAAGTGTAACTTAAAAAATCATTTTTATTTACTAACGCACTGTCCCAAGGATAATCTAATATGGGCTGCGGAAGGGTCTAACACATGCTTATGGTGTAGTAGTTAATTCTCTGTCAATCCTAACGAGAGACCCTTTGTTCGAGTCCCAGTAATGTTTTTTTGCCTTTTTGCGGCTTGAATTGCCTTCGGCCGATACTTCCGACAGCCACCCGATCTGGGCACGCACTGCTGATGCCTTCTTATCAATTTTTTTTCCGAGACACACATGAGCCCTCCTCCCGAGCCTTTAGTGAAGTGCACTCGCTGTTCATTTCACGGTCCTCAGTCTGCCTTTCCCCAACTTCCAAGTCTCCAGTACACGAGGCACTGCCACAAATGTCGAGAGAAGAATCTCAAGTCCCGCGGCACCGCAAAGGGCAGAGAGCCACTTGCTTCGTTCCGGGGGAAGGACACCTTGGGGGGAACGCTCCCCAAACTCTCCCGGGAGACGCTTCTCGCTCTGATCAGGGAGCACGGCTCAAACAAGGCATTCGAGACTGAATGCTACATTGATCTTGCCGAGATCGATCTGCGACCAGAGATACCTCACAGCCCAAAGGCAGTGGCGGACGAGCTTGCCAGAGACGTGTGGGAAGCAACAGGCTACCGATTTGTGTGCGTGTTGCAGGAAAAAGCGGTACAGAAACTTACTGACAATTCAGCGCAGATATAAGCAGAAACGCCCGAGCCGCACGAATCCTTCAATTGTGCGCTTCGAGTATCACTGCGCACAGCTCCAGGGCGAAAAAACAAAGAATCCACTTGTTGCCGATCCCAAGAAGCGCCGTGCTCGTGTTACCATGGATTATTTTGCTTGTAATGGTTGGCTCAATGTCATTATCAACGAGCTTGACCTCAGCACTGCGACTTTTCGATTGTCACACCATCTCGCACACACGCACTACACAAATATCTCCATTTCCGATGACATAAAGAGTCTAGTCGAGCGGATGAAGACTTCAACTCCAACTAAAGTCAGTTCTCTTCTTGATTTTTGGCTGGCCGGAGTCCTCATTGCTCGACATTAGATCTGGGAGGAGGTTGTGAAATCGGATCCTACTACGGAGTTGACAGAACGGCAAATCTATCGTTTCTGGTCGGACATCAATCAGGGAGCTTGGAGAAAGTGTGACAATCAGGTTGCATCTGCCCTTGCTCTGCTGCATGAGTACGAGGATATGACTGTTGAGATCATTGAGCTCAAACAAGAGACTGGGCTGTCCTCAATCGCTTTTTGTTTCCGGGAGATAATCGACGATTTTGGAAAGGACACGGAGGAGATTGCAATGGATTCGACTTGTGAGTGTCTATTAAGATTTCCTCTTTCTGTGCACTGTTTGAGCGTTGTAGGGAAAACTAATGCAGCGGGATACGAGCTGTATGCAATTGTTGCTGAAGCAAATGGCACCGCTCTACCGCTCGCATTTGTCTTCACTACATCGACGGGTGACAATGCTGCAGAGGGTGCTAAAGACCAAATGCTTCAACAGGTTCTGGGCGCAGTCTCACAAAAATGTCCGAATATTCAGTTCGTGCATACGGACAAAGACATCAGTGAGATTAATGCCGCTAAAACCGCGTTCCCTGGTACCAAACATCAGCTTTGTATGTGGCACGGTCCTCGATATGTGAAGGAGCGACTCGCAGAAGACAAGCGGCCTGCTCATTACGATCCTCGCAAAGCACACATGGTCTTTGACTTTATTGACCCTACCTGGGCACCTGGGATCGATCGGGTTCAAGAAGCTGATTCTCAGCGCGAACAAGATGACTCGGATCAGGAGGAGGAGGATAGCAACAATGTGAACAGTCCGGTGAGCAGATGCTTGACCATTCGATGCACGCAGTTTTTCTGAGGATGGGATCCAGACCAAGACACTGCTGCCTCCGATATTTGTTCTCACTCAGTGCAACATTCGTCATCCGATTTATCCAAACCCACCGAAGGCTCGGAAGACTGATCTGGGAGTATTCTGTCCGCCGGAACATCGTGATGTCACTCTCGACCTCTACAAGATGCACGGCAGACTGCATCCGGAGATTCCGGTGTACGAGCCGGTGAAATGCTGAGGGCGTGCTCACAAGTGAATCTACTATGAAAGTAAACCCAAATATAAACACGTTCACACTCCTCGTAATCAGCTTCTCAGTGTGTGAAAGATGCGAGGGCTTCGGGGTGGACAGAGCACCAGTATCACAACTCTCAATAGACGCAGATCCAATAGTCGCGGAGACGAAGTCGACGACAAGAATTTATATATAGCAAACAATGGTATCTCAACCAATATCTTCTATACGAACACAACCAACACTAATCCAATCCACAAACAACAATATAACAAGTCAGAACTTAATACGAAGTATTAAGATCCCTTGTAGCGACAGCGTCTAGATGGTGACGCAAAGCCCAAATATCAAGTCGACGCACTGCCAACCGATACGACCAATATACTGAGTCGACGCACTGCCAACTAGTAAACCTAGATGTCAAGTCGACGCACTGCCAACTGACACAACCAAAAGTACTGAGTCGACGCACTGCCAACTAGTAATCCAAAATGCCGCGTCGACGCACTGCCAACTAACAGCCAATATCCAATGTCCAAAACCCGAGCACAACTCGTCGACGCACTGCCAAGCAAGAAGTGTGGAACCAAAGTTCTCAAGTCGACGCACTGCCAACTGACCAAAACAACCCGAGCACAACTAGTCGACGCACTGCCAAACTAGAGGTGTGGAACGATCTCAACAAAGCCCAAAGGGCGACGACACTAAATGCCGCGACTAAACCAGATGCGGCGAATCCGACTTTCTGATTTCTCAACTCAAACTCAAATCACAGTAGCTACAAGTGCTCGGGGAGCAACTCGTCGCGACTGGGCAGGGGTAGCAGAACTTCTTAGGGTGGAATCACGCGGCACGCAAATTGTACAAAACAATCTGAAATGAGAGTGATTCACAGTCCGGGGGAAAGCTTTTAATACAAAGAAACGACGTGCTACTTATACTGTCTACGACGATGCTTAGTAAAGTCCTGTACAACTGCATAGTAGCTACGCTATCTAAGATCGGTTGCCTTTTAGGGTAATTGAAAAGTTGAACGATCGGACAGGTCCTGAGTGATCAGGACCCCGCCCCATAGTCCATATGATACTTTTGATGTGGGTCAACCCACCGCGTCATACTTTTGGAATACGACGTGTTGGATTGGCCAACGGGTATGTCTTGGCATGTGAGACCAACGTGGGCGCCCCAAGAAGCCGTATGGCCCTAGGCGCGCCAGTCGTCCCCCACATGGCTCGGTTCACGGATCTAGCCGTGTCGATTTCTAGTGTGTTTGGGTATGGACGCGACTCGCCGTGACACTTGGAAGTGTCACCGCGACGCGTCCACAATGTCCCGTGATCGAATGGGTCCTGACATGTGACAAGTCGTCGTCGTGGCATGATCTGAGGAAACGTCCAACTCAAAACCGGGAGTTGCCGCGACAAGATGGTTTAAGTCTCGTAACGCCAAGTCCTGTCCAGTAGTAGTTCTATTATTGAGAACGTCGCGCATTGCTCAGCCCTTCAGTCCAAGTTCCCATCTGCAGAGAATGACCCTTTTGAGAAGTCGACGCAACGACAGATCCCTTTCTGGGGAATGGTCGCGGTCCAAGCGTTCGTCACTAATGGCCCTGAGCCTGGTATGGACTCATAAGACCAATCCCACAGTAGTGGTCTGACTGCCTTGCTATCGTCGACACTATCCACAGTCGTCGACTGGGCAGTAGACCCATAAGTCCTACTGAGCGCAACACTGTCAACCGCGACACGATACACCGGATGGTTCGAGAGTAAACTCTGTAAAAAGCGCAAAAATACGCCCTTACAGAGCTGGTGCAGAGCGCGTCCGGTAGCCAGCCTATCATCTCCCAGGAACACTAATTTTGACCTCCTGGTCAATCCCGCGACAGTCTCACTGTGTCAGGTCTGAGTCCAACAGTCGACGTCTCGTTCATTTATTATTAAAGCCGCGGGGACATAGAGTTATGTTCCCACGTCTTATTCATTTGGTTGTTCGGTTCCTTCCGTGATCTGCCGCGATCAAACTTCTTCCGGCATGTTCACCATATAAATGCCCTCAATTTTCAGGGTCGAGAGTCTCCCTAGTACGAGACACTCTTGCCTTTTTCGATCCGTTTTTCTATCGCGAGATGGAAAAGATGGAGAAGCAGTTCCAAAGGGAGATCGAGAAGGCCCAGGAATTCGACAGGTCGGACCCCGCGACCATCCAGGATCAAGCCTTCCAGCCTGGCGAGGACCACGAGATCGACGTCGCGCACTTGGCGAGTAGTCGCACCTGTGCGCCCTCCTCGTCGCCCCAGCCTTCGCCATCGCCGCCTCCCGTTGCGTCGTCGTCCCAGGCCGTTCTACAGGTCTTGGACTTTTCCGACAACTACAGCGAGACCTCGACCGAGTCCACCAAGGCCGATTCGGATGAAGACGCGGAGGGTGAAGAAGACGGGTCCGCCGGCAACGAGAACGTCGACGACGGGCAGGTCGACGACGAGAACGTCGAGGACGAGAACGTCGACGACGAGGGCTCCGACGCCGCGGGTGAGACTGCCATGGAGGTGGATGAGCAGTAGACCAGCTCGTTCCACCGTCCGTGAACGTCGCGGCCCCGAATTTTTATTTATTACTTGCATCATCGTATCGTCGTCGTAGAATCATCCAAATCTATCATTGCTGCTGCCTGAGTCGTCGTCGCGTGAACCTTTGAGTCTAAATTTTCAAAATTCTTGGAAGAATTTTCTTGAAACATTTTTGAAAAAGTCCCGGACCCCATCCTCAGTAGCATCATTGGATTTTCCACTTTCCAGCACATGGGTCCAAGGGGTGTGCACGTTGTCGCGCACCTCAATTTCCAATGTGTGGACTTCTGCAGACTCTGTGGCTGATCTTTCGTAAAATCTGCCCTCTCCCAGGAACACAGATCTAAGCCGTCCTCGGCTTATCTGATGCGCGACTAGAAAAGTTTTTCCAGAGTCGACGATATAAAGTCTGGGTGGGCTCGACAGATTATGTCCAGTCCCATTCTCAGTCCCTATTTCGTTCCCATT